CCGTAAATGGGGGAAACCTCCAAAAAAATTACAAATTTAAAAATCGCTAATTTTCGAAATTTTTTCAATTTTTTTTACTTAAAATTTCCATAACTTTTTTAAAAATAACCAAATCAATATAATTTTTTATATAGATGCATGATATCATTACCTTTCATTTGGTATATATTTTTTTATATATCTGACCCTTTACTTGCCCACAGGGGGGATTTAAAATGACATCTTTTTCACAAAAAATTAATTTTTTCAACTTGACTTTTGAAAATGTTCCGGAAAGTCTGACACTTTTATATATATCTTAAATTAAAGCTAATGTAATATACTTTATCATGAAAAAAAAAATTCGGACTTTATTTTATCTTCACGGTGAAAATGGCTACCGAATGCTATTTTTGTGTGAAAATTTTCGATTTTATTTTTTACATTTTTAACTTTATAATGCTATAACTTATTGAAAAGTGTATGGATCAACATAATTTTTTTATGAGAAATAATATTTTTTAATAATCTCTTTTTCATTCGACATACTTTATCTAAATCAGGATATTAATAAGGAACTAGCAGATCATGTAGCTTTTGCAATAATCCACCAATTTTTTAAAATTAAACACTATCTAAAGATTTACATCGAAGCGTTTTTTTTTATAGTGATTTTATTCACTGTCAAATATCATTATATTTGATCCAACTATGCCACGTCACCAATGTGCCGCGACCTCCTGTGCTGGGTTTTTTTTTTTTTTGTATTTCACTATTAATATTTATATAATATTTATGAAAATCTGTACTCCCCTTGTCAGGAATTTTAAAATAAAATAAAATACAAAACCCAGAATTTTAACATAAAAATAGCATATTTTTGAATACGGAAGTCATTTTTACCATGAAGACAAATCCAGATTTACAAAAAAAGCGTGCCAGATGAAAGGGGTATATAAATATTTATTATAAAAAATAATAATATTGATCCATACATTTTTCCAAAAGTTATATAAAATATAAAATCGAGAATTTTTTCACGGAAATCGTACGTTCTTCTATAACTTTGATGTCCGTTTTCACCACGAAGACAAGTCCAGAGGTCAAATTTTTTTTTTCAAATCAAAGTATATTACATTAACTTTAATTTAAGGTATATATAAAAGTGTCAGTCTTTCCGGAACATTTTCAAAAGTCAAGTTGAAAAAGTTAATTTTTTGTAAAAAAGTTACCATTTTGAAACCCTTTCTGTGGGCTGTTAAAGGGTCAAATGTTCACAAAAATATATAAAATGATAGCTAATTATCTAAGGTATTTATAAAAAAAAAAAATTATATTGATTCGATCATTTTTAAAAAAGTTATGGTACTTTTAAGTAAAAAAAATTGAAAAAATATCGAAAATTAGCGATTTTTAAATTTGTAATTTTTTGGGGATTTCCCCCGTTTGCGGGGAACAAGGGAATTTTTTAAAATTTTTGAGGGTTATGTCTTCGACAAGATACGATTTTTGATATTTTGACATATTGTTCATTAAAATCGGTCCAGCGAGAGCTGAGATTGAGCGTTCACAGACACAAAAAAAAAAATAAAAAAAAAAACACATCATAGTAAAATAAATACCTTCTCAGCTTCGCATCGAAGCTAAAAACTATTTTGATATGTTCATTTTTAAAAAAGTTATGGCAGTTTTTAGTAAAAAAAATTGAAAAGTTTCGAAAATTAGCGATTTTTTAATTTGTAAATTTTTTGGAGGTTTCCCACATTTACGGAGAACGAGGGAAATTTTTTCAAATTTTGAGGGTAATATCTTCAACTAGATACGATTTTGATCTTTTGACGTATCGTTGAAAGAAATCCGTTCGGTGAGAGCTGAGAAAAAGTGGTAACAGACACAAAAAACAAAAAAAACACATCATAGTAAAACCAATTGCTTATTGCAAATGCTTACCATCAGCAGCGTTAAACACATAAATATGTGTTTAGTACTTATAATGATAACATTGTTTTCAAAATATGTAATCGTAATTTTTTAATAATTTTGTGATTTTTCGAGTACTTTTTAAATACCTATTATATTTTTAGTTTAAAAATTAGACGCAAGTTATCAATTCATATTACATAATTTTATCCTTTAATACGGCCGCCGGGGATTGACGGCCGGTTATAGAAAGTGTAACGGAAATCATGTGAAAAATAAATATAGTTTAAAAAAACTAAAAAACATGCTTTTAAAGCACATTGAACTAAAAAGTTTAAAATAATTTTTAAAATAAGCTTAAAATAATATTGAACGAAAAGTACTAATATTATTGTGATAAAAGCGTCGGGTGCTCAATATACGAAAAATATGGCACAAAGCACCCACGNAGCAGCAGGCGCGCAAATTACTCACTCCCGGAACGTGGAGGTAGTGACAAAAAATGACGATACGGAAATCATCCCTCGTAATCGGAATGAATACTTTATATCTCTTAGAATAAATCGTGTTAATATATAAATTTTAATAGTTATATGCGACAAATAATGCGACTTAAGTACGTAAACGTATCATGCACTAGGTATAGCCGTGTTTTGTGGGCTTGCGGGTCGGACTAACGTTATACCTGAGGTATAAATGGCGGTAGGAATATACAGGGTGTTCAGTAAGTCAGGAAACGGGTTTCTATTGTTCTCATTGTCTGTAACAATGAGAACAATAGAAACCCGTTTCCTGACTTACTGAACACTCTGTATACGTAAACCGTATGGTACGCGGATGGTATTGGTCAGTCAAAATAAAAATTTGTTTATATATACATAATATTGATGACAAGCATGCGAGTACGGGTACGATAACTAAAAATAAATTTTTATAGGAATAGCGTTGCCGTCGTGTTTTGATCGAAGCGTGGGGTGGGGTGAATGCGTTATGACAGTCTAGTCTAGACGACGGAATATGCGATAACGCGTGGCGTTTGAAGAGTTACAAACATACATACATACATACAGATGAAACTAATATAAGCGTGTTAAATAGAGCCACGTTACGGGATTAGAACCCGCGACCCAAGGCGTCGTATAGACAAACCTTAACACTAGGTCACCGTGCACTTATGATTCAGATCCCGATACACTTTTATTTAGGTTGATAACGTAATGTGCGGCTGATAGAAATACGGTACTGTGTCACCTTATAATTTTTTTTTATATTCGATCAATCATTTGCGTTTTAAAATTGTTTAAAGATTTGGATTTATAATATAAATTCATCATTAATTTGGTTTTCATAATACTGAAATAAACAATAATCTGTTTAAATGTGCATAAATTATTTTTATGGTGTCAGGAAAATTTTTTCAAACCAGTTGTTTAACAACAGTGTAAAATTGTGTTGATTATAAAAGTATGGGTCTATTAATAGACACGGATTATTTAAGATAACATTTTTGTATGATAGATAATATCAAGTTATATTTGTGTCGACTACTATTTGCTAATTGACTATATTAGTTGAGTTATATTAGCAATTCATCAATAGACAATTTTTCAAAATCGCTAAAGTTTAAAAAGTTATAAAAGAAGAACAATTTGTCGAATAAAAGAATTATAGCAACAATTGTTTTTTATTGTATCATTAAACTAAATAAAAGGGATCTCGTTAAAGAAAATTATAGTTTAGATTTTTTAATCCTGAAGGAATGAAAAAAAAAAAATTAACTACATATTATTTCAAAGTTTTTGAATAAAACAATCTTTTCCTTAAATATATATATATATATACAATATACGAATTATATAAAATAAAAATAAATTATTCAGGGTCATTGTAAAGCTAAAGATATTTTCTTGAATCCTGTAAGTATTTTATTTTGATAAAAACATAATTTATTGATAATATATCGTAAAAAGCGTTTAAAATCTTTTGACGTAATATTAATTAGGGATTGCCTTTTCTGGTACAATTTGACTGATATTTTAAGACCAGGAACTGTTATCTTCATATGGGGTTCTACTTCTTTAGCTACTGGTATATATTTGATTTTTTTCAATAATATTTTTTATAATATAGCTGTAACTATTAAACATAGTTATTTGTAAAAAAATAATAAGATTTTTGTCAATTAGTATTCATGTGGATCTACAAAGTGGCCAAAATATTCAACAACGTGATAATGTTGCTTTACATGTAACATTAGATTATAATTATCAGGTTATGATCAGAGGTAGTATTCAAAATCAACAGTGGAATGACTGTGAATTTCATGGCTCATCTATACGCCTTAATAAAGGAGCAGACTTTCATTTAGTTATACTGTGTGATGTGGATAACTATAAGGTAAATTGTTCTGTTCATAATAGTAATACGGATATAATTATNCCTTAATTGTTCATAATAGTAATACGGATATAATTATTAAAATAACTTATTTAAATTATATATTATAGATAGCATTTAATGGTGTCTATTACGCTACAAGAGCACATAAAATGCCTTTCGTAATAGTAAAATATTTATCAATAAATGGTAATCTTAAATTGAATGAAGTTCGTGTTACTGAATATTTATTTCCATTTGGCATTGAAGAAAATTGGCTTGAGATTATCGGCTTAGCAGCTCATAACAAATACAATGGTCAATATCAACAATTATTAATGTCCCAAGTTTGTGATCATTTTAACTTAATACTTAAAAAATACATAAAACTACAAAATTAATCGATTCTCAGCCTAAATAATTTTACAAAAATATAAAATTAAAATCATTTATGATTATTATAGAATAATCATAACCATTATAGTGGTACAAGTTATGGAAATACACCAGTGTTTGGACAAACGGACTACATTTCTACTGCTGGACACAATATGGCTACAACTGGAAATTCAGTTTACACTCCTACTTCTTCTTCTTCAACTTATCCACATTCTACCTACTTTCATTCTATCTATCCTTCTCCTACTTATTCACATTCTACCTACACTAATCCTACTTATCAACTTTATCAACCTTCGATTAATCCAGTTTATGGACATCCAGATTACCATCCTTCATATCAATTTAATATGCAAGACTATAGCACTGGACTAACTCAAAATACACCTCATCAACAGGTTCAGTTAACTTTTAGTTTAGCTAGATACAAGAAATTTTAAAATTAATTTTTCTGAAAAAACTATTTGTTCTTGAACAAATCCGGATTAGTTGTGAGTGTTGAAAGGCCGTTATAGGAAGGGAACAAGGGTAATACCTAGATATGAGATGCAGACGAAGTGCAAGACATAAATACTTTGGGTATAAGAGAGAATAAAGAACAGGGATAGCCAAGTACGAGGTGTAGACCAAGTGAAAGAAACAAATACTTTGGTTATTCGAAGAGGATAATGAAGTACGAGGTGCAAACGAAGTGCAAGACACTAGTATTCTGATGTGTCGAGGACTAGATTAGGTAGGTAAAAAAGGAAAAACAAAAACTTGACTTTATGCGGTAAGCCGGACAGCGACGACCGAGTATTGACCGAGACTGAGACTAATGAATGGAATAAGGCACTGGAGTCGATGGCTTCATCGACGATTGTCAGAACTTTTGGGTTTTTATAATAATTTGGACAATTGCCAATTTCGCCATAAATATTAATTGTTAATTCATCAATCTCTAAAAGCGGATTTGCTGTCAGTATTTTATTATAATAAATTCTTACGATAATGGTAAAGTGACACCATCACATTAGCTACAATTCGAACTTAGAATTATTATTATAAGTTGTGATAAGCAAAATTTTACTGATCTTATAATTGTACAAAAGTAAGACCGTATTAAAGTTACAAAAACAAGATTAGTACAAACATGACCAAAACTGTAAGAGTTTTAAACTCTTTCAAAAAGAATCACTCATTATCACTAGAACTCAACAACCATAATAGATTAATATAAAAATATATAAATATCGTTATCTTTATAACTACGTAAGAGGCCTTAACGAAACTGATGAAATTTATAAATAAACATTGTTTAAAATGAATAATACTTAT